CTACATCATTGGGGGGGGAACCGGTGGGCACTATTAACTTACTACATCCTGTGAGTGTACTTATACCTGTGTGATTTTTAAATAACACGATCATGCTATGTGCAGGTTTTTTTGTTTTGTTTTTAAATGCAAAGCTGTAACCCCAATTGTTTTATCTGTAAATATCGTTGGTTGAGAAACTTAGGCAAATGGAAGCCTCAGAGATAGCTGCCACATTCCACGACAAATGCAAAATACGTACAGAACTGACATCAGGTAGTCTGGAACAGGACTTTGGACTAAGTCATATTTAATGGGGTGCAACTAGCATGTGCTATATTAAGGTTGACTACAGTTATTTCTCCCCACCAACTCGCCTAAGATCTAAAACGCACATTCTAAGCAATAGTCCCTCTTATATTTCTTAGTTGATGTGCGCAGAAATTTCCTGTTTTTCAAGCTTTTTTCCTAATCCAAAATTTTGTACAGAACGTCTGGCACCTCGACTGGGTTCTTCTGTGAAGCTTGCTTCCTAGCTATCACCGGAACACAAGTATTGCTTCAGTCCCTAGCCGCCTCAGCTTGACTGGGGTTTCTCTGTAGCTTCCTGCCCTGGAACAGGGTCCTGGTTACAGCTCCAAGTGATCACTCTTTCATGCAGTTTATGGTTGTATAGCTGGTTTACCCAAACATCAGCCTAGACTCAGTGAAGGGTACAAATGAACTGGTTTATTCAGGCAAGGCACACTGAATTTATACACAAGCCCCTCCCAGAGATCTCTGTGCCTGGGAGATAATTGAGTCAAAGTCTGGTAAGCTAATTATCTCCCAGAAACAGAGAGCCAAGCACAAAAACATAAAAGTACCCCAAAACATAATAAAAACATAAAGTTTCCCCACATGTCCTATATCCCCAAAGAGCCCTGATCTGAGCACCCAAGTTGTCCAAATAGCGCTCAGATCCATGCAGTGTAGGAGAATTGCCACCAAGGGAGAGTTCTGACTGGCTGCACACGTGGTCCAAACTAGTTCCAGAGCAATGTGTGCTTTGGCCGGTCAACTTTAGGGAGCTCCTGCAGCCGAAATACGGGGTGCTCTGCCTGGTTTTCAGGGAATATTTGTTCCTCTTAGTCTCAGACACCTTTCCTCCAAAAAGCGCTTCCCTAGCGGGTCACAAACTGGTTCAAAACACCTGACCAAGTTGCCTGGGAACCACAAGGTCACACAGCTGAAAATGGTTTCATAACAATTGCAGCTAAGTACCACTGAGGACAGTTCACAGGTTAATTTGAATGAACAATCCAAGGTGACTGGAAACCATGAAGTCCTCATGAAGACCATTCAACATGCAAATAGATATCAGGGAGATAGCGTTCAGTTCAATTTGTGAGAAGGGAAAGTGCTGATCGAGGGGCACTGAGGGAAAGCTGCTAAGGGCAGGGTAACTCCCAAACGGGGTTTCCGACCTGGACCATAGTCGGTGGGCAGAAGGCCAGTTTTCACACTCCTCTAGGAGTTTGTGGCAAACATCAGTGAAAAGAGTTGTTTGTCACAACTACATTACAGTATTATTGAAAGATAATGTAGTATTAGTAGTTACTCTACAGTATTACTGTAATGTCAACCATTCAAACAGACAAGTCTATCTGCTAATGCCCATTTTGGCCTGTCAGAAAGTCCATAGAAAGCAATAGGGGGCAACTGCACAGACAAGAGTACACACAATTCATTCTTTTTTTTTTTTTTTTAAAGAAATGTTTTCCAGCTTGTTGCCTATATAATTTGCCATGAAGCATCAGCCCCCCCCTCACTCCCCCTCCTCCTTCACCACCTTCACAACAGTAAATAGCACATTAATCCATTAAAATGACCTTTCATTCAGCCAAAGATAATATTGGTAGGTTGTTGCCTGTATTTGGGCAAGCATGTTAATTCCCCACCTTAGGAAGAAACAATGAATGCAGTCCAATAAATGGTGATATATACATATTAAATGCTTCTTACACATGAATAAAATTAAACTGACACAATTATAGCAAACATTACATGGAGAGGAGGAGAGATGTCATGCCACCATAGAATTTGCAAAATGATGTCTTTGCCCAATAAATTATTATTTATAAAATATTTTACCAGGAAAGATACATTGAGATTTCTCTTGTTTTCAAGTATGTCCTGGGTCCACAACACATTGCATTGATACATTATGGTACAATAAAATACAAAAACAATATTAATACACAATATATACAAAATTTAACATGGTAGGAAATATATAATCAACCATGACAAGTGCATTCTGTTTTGAGGTATGTAGAGAGGGATCTCTTAAAGGACTTTAGGCTTGGGAAGATTTTAAAGTGAGCGGGAGGTTGTTCCACAATTGCGGCGCTCTGTAGGAGAAGGAGGATCGGGCCGCTTTCTTTTTCTATTGAGGTAGACTAAATAAAGTGCTGGTACTGGATCAGAGGCTATAGGAGGTGGGGACAACCGAGGAGAGCATTCTGCCTAGGTACGGTGGGAGTTTCCCAGAAAAGCTGGGAGATATACATGATTTAATGATTCTTAAAAACAAAAAATAATCTTGATATGATTCGATATGTCCAAAGTTAAAAACCAAAAACACATGGAGAGACACGATTGTATTAAAGGACCACTCTAGGCACCCAGACCACTTCAGCTTAATGAAGTGGTCTGGGTGCCAGGTCCAGCTAGGGTTAACCCATTTTTTCATAAACATAGCAGTTTCAGAGAAACTGCTATGTTTATGAATGGGTTAAGCCTTCCCCCTAATTCTCTAGTGGCTGTCTCATTGACAGCCACTAGAGGCGCTTGCGTGCTTCTCACTGTGATTTTCACAGTGAGAGCACGCCAGCGTCCATAGGAAAGCATTATGAATGCTTTCCTATGTGACCGACTGAATGCGCGCGCAGCTCTTGCCGCGCGTGCGCATTCAGCCGACGGGGAGGAGAAGAGGAGGATCGGAGGAGGAGAGCTCTCCGCCCAGCGCTGGAAAAAGGTAAGTTTTACCCCTTTTCCCCTTTCCAGAGCCGGGCGGGAGGGGGTCCCTGAGGTGGGGGCACCCTCAGGGCACTATAGTGCCAGGAAAACGAGTATGTTTTCCTGGCACTATAGTGGTCCTTTAAGTAGCTAGGTGCAAACCATGTAGGGGGGGGGGGGTTGGTGACTCGTGTTTCTGTCTTGTGGCTTGTAAGAATTCTTGGCATTGTACCAGTATATTATTGTATTGCCTTTGCTTCTGTTATTGTGTTTATTTTTTTTCTTATGTTTCACTATAGTACTTTTTGTACACAATAAGGTCAGATTATATTGACTGTTTGAAGTTGTCATAGTGTGCATTCTATATTATAGAGATATTGGGATATGTCCAAAGCACACAGGAGAAATAAAAAAACACAATTTAGCAGACACCAATAGCAAACATTATATGGAGAAATGCCACCGATATATTTTTCAAAAAGGAGCTCTTTACCCAAATAAATGGTGACATATACATTAATGCTTCTTAAACACACAGACTCTCAATACAGACACACAATTTCATTGATTTGAAACACACACACTGACAGACACACACACTGACAGACACACACTGACAAACACACTCACTCATTGACAGACACACTGACAGACAAACTGACACACACTCTCAATGACAGACACACAACCTCACTGATTTGAAACACTCACTGACATATACACACACTGACAGACACACTGACACACACTCTCAATGACAGATACACAATCTCACTGAAACATTCACTGACAGACACACCTACTGACAGACACACACACTGACAGACACACACACTGACAGACATACACACTGACAGACACACACACTGACAGACATACTCACACATTTACACATTCTTGCATACACACTCACAAATTAATTTTATTAGGCCCATCCAGCCTCTCTAACTTTAGGAGAGCTGGTGTGGATCCTCTCCCTGGAGTTCAGTGGGGATTTTCTCCCTGGGGTCTAGTGGGGATTTTCTTCCTTGCATCCAGTGGGGGTATACTCCCTTTAATCCAGTGAGGATTGTCCTATGCAAATTTCCTGAATCGTCTGGGGAATTAATCTTCTCCCTGCAGTCTTCCAGTTCCTCTCTTGTCCCTTGTGAGCCCTCTGTACTGATGCTGGGGCCGAGGTGACGTCATATTCCAGCTCCCGGTATTACAACAGAATGCACACAAGAGAGCCAAGAGGAACTGAAAACACATCATCAGCGCTCCCTCGCTGCCCCTACCCCCTGCCTCCTCCCTTCCATCCTGGTATATATTGGCAGTGTAGGGGTGCCAATATATGGGTGTCTGCTTCGGAGGTGCCTGCTTCGGAGGTGCCCTCATGTGGGGTGCCTGCTTCGGAGGTGCCCTAAGGTGGCTGGTTGGACACTTCCTGGGCCCCCTTTGACAGGTCATTGACCTGCTCCTGTGTGCAGATTCATACCCTGTGTGCACTCCCTCAAAAAGGTAAGTGTGATTAAAAAGTGTGCTTACTTTGTTACTTAAAGGATCACTATAGTGTCAGGAAAACAAAACCCCCTTCAGCAGTTTACCTTAATCCAGCGCCGGGCTCCCTCGGCGCTGGTTACCTCTCCTCCCCCGCCGACGTCAGTTCCCCCATCCGACGTCAGCGGAGCCGAATGTGCATGCCATGCATGTGCCGCGCACGCATTCAAGCTGTCAATAGGAAAGCATTTTCTATGGACGCTTTGTGTGATGGAGGCATAATATGCCTCCAGTGTCGCAGATGCGCCTCTAGTGGCTGTCCGGAAGACAGCCACTAGAGGCTGGCTTAAAGGAACACAATAGTCACCTAAATTACTTTAGCTAAATAAAGCAGTTTTAGTGTATAGATCATTCCCCTGCAATTTCACTGCTCAATTCACTGTCATTTAGGAGTTAAATCACTTTGTTTCTGTTTATGCAGCCCTAGCCACACCTCCCCTGGCTATGATTGACAGAGCCTGCATGAAAAAAAAACAACTGGTTTCACTTTCAAACAGATGTAATTTACCTTAAATAATTGTATCTCAATCTCTAAATTGAACTTTAATCACATACATGAGGCTCTTGCAGGGTCTAGCAAGCTATTAACATAGCAGGGGATAAGAAAATCTTAATTAAATAGAACTTGCAATAAAGAAAGCCTTAATAGGGCTCTCTTTACAGGAAGTGTTTATGGAAGGCTGTGCAAGTCACATGCAGGGAGGTGTGACTAGGGTTCATAAACAAAAGGGATTTGACTCCTAAATGGCAGAGGATTGAGCAGTGTGCAGGGGCATGTTCTATACACCAAAACTTCTTCATTAAGCTAAAGTTGTTCAGGTGACTATAGTGTCCCTTTAACCCTGCAATGTAAACATAGCAGTTTCTCTGAAACTGCTATGTTTGCATCTGCAGGGTTAAAACCTGAGGGACCTGCCACCCAGACCTCTTAATTGAGCTGAAGTGGTCTGGGTGACTATAGTGTCCCTTTAAGTTTCCAAGCATAGTTATGTTTCATGTTAATATTGGGATGCAGGAATGCTTTATTATGACCTTAATGGCATGAGAGAGATGCATTGACAGCCACTAGAGGCGCTTCCGCGCTTCTCACTGTGATTTTCACAGTGAGAAGACGCCAGCGTCCATAGGAAAGCATTGTGAATGCTTTCCTATGGACTGGCTGAATGCGTGCTCGGCTCGTGCCACGAGGAGGAGAGGAGGAGGAGAGTCCCCCGCCCGGCGAGTATGTTTTCCTGGCACTATAGTGGTCCTTTAAGTATGATGATACTCTGCTTTTATATGCCAAATGTACAAAGGATTGCCTTTTTTATTTAGATTTCATTCCTCAATGAAATGTTTTGGAAAACATTAAAAGTAATTCTAAAAAAAAATTTTTTACAAATATCTAGGGGTCATACCCTAGATAAAAGTATGGGAACTCATCATCTTATTTAACTGGTATCATTCCATTCTTAAAGGGGCTCTGCTCAAGTTCAGTTTAAGTCATTACAGAAACAATACAGAAGAAGAAGGTAAAAATATAAAAAACACAATTATAAATGAATAAATAAAGATAGCCACAATTGACCTGCCTATATTTTTCGTACTGCCAATGATAAGAAGTAGTTGATACTTGTCAGCCATTCAGTTCTTTTTAAATTAAGTGCTAAGCATAACTCATAAACCCCCAAAAAGCAGGGTTATTGGACATATAATTTAGCTTTGTACTTTTGTTCCATTCATCGGAAAAAATTATACTGCTGACCAAGCTGAAGACTCGTACTCGGACTCGTACCAGAAGTCCTCCTTGTATTAATCATATAAATTATAATAATTAATTTTAAATTACTACCAAAACATAATGTAAACATATTTAATGACGTATATATAAGAATATACAATGAATATACCATTAAGTATAAAACACAACATTTATGCTCTAGTGATAACCAGATGTATATACAAATTATCATTGTATCTATATTTAGACAGATAACAAGCTAACCCAAACTGAAACAAAAGTAAAGGTAGGGATTGCTAGTCGAATTAGGCAGCCACCTAGGGCACACCAAGGGGCAACAATGTCCGGGTAACCGGCAAGAGGGGAGTGCCCTCCCCTAGGAGACTCCCCCTCCTGCCAGTCATTCCATGTAGCCTGCCCGAGCAGACCAAGGATCTTCTGTGTCCTATACCCTGTCTGACAGGAAGCAGCTTGCGGAGAGCAACTAAGAGAGCAGATAACAGAAGACTTCCACTGCATTTTGCTCAGCCACATTACATGGAGAGAAATCAGCATTCACAGGAGTGGAGAAGTGAGAGACACACTGAAGTGCTGGGGGGACAAAGAGACTAACAGAGAGACTGGGTGGGGACAATGAGGCACACAGAAGGGCTGAGGAGCACATTATTATCTACACAGGTACTACACAGGTACTGGGGGGAAGAAACAGATTGGGGCAGCAGGGACAAAGAGACCCACAAAGTGGCTGGGGGGGGACACACAAAAAGGGCCTGGGGGAGAAAGACACACATAAAGGGGCTTGGGAAGAGAAAGAGAAACACAAAGGGGCTTTGAACTCCTGGCAATTCTCACTTTAGTGAATTCCCCTGATAGTGCACAGTGTTCGGTAGTCACTTTTCCAGAAAGAGCTTTCAGGTTACACACGACCCACCAAGCAGTCTACAACAAGGAGTATAAATGAAAAAAATCTCAGGCACTCACTGTGATCACTTCCAGGCAGTTTATTGCAACGTTTCGACCTGAAACCAGGTATTATCAAGCTTGATAATGACCTGGTTTCATGTCGAAACGTTGCAATAAACTGCCTGGAAATGGTCACAGTGAGTACCAGCGATTTTTTTCATGTATACAGATTGTTTGGGGTTTGCTGACCCATCCTCAGTGCACCCTGTGTTAAACCTTGTGATTGAGTTCAACCCTCCTTTTCTCATTATTGCAACAAGGAGTATGGGATGACGGAGGATGCATTTAATGCAATTCACACTTGTGCTCTACAAATTCAATGTGACTGATATGGAACAACATAAACACACTTTGTTGGTTGCCCCTCGTCAGCTGAACAGGTTAAAAAACAATCATACAATGCCTGATTTGCATAAAAACTCTTGAATAAAAAGATCTGTCAACAAACAGATTTCATGTTTCATTCAGTCTTTCAGTTACTTACTATTTAAAATGCAAGCAATTAATAAACTCTATAGAACAAGAACACTCAGGGGATATTGTGTTTCATATATTCTAGTCCTTTAATCCGTCCAGACCAAACTGTTTCATGTAGACGTGAAATAATAACATCAGCCACATTTTACTATAGACGAGATCTGTTTTATTGTGTTTTTCTTTATTGTTTATATATTTACTAGTTTTTATCTTGGGGCAAGATCAAACTTATAAAAGTATATCAATATGTGTGGTTATTGGATAAATTTTATGAAATTCAATATATTTGGACTTCTATCTTACTTAGGAGTGATCTGTATTGTATTTCTCTGCAGTAAAAAGCACCGTGGGCCATTCATGTTTAACCACTTAAGGACCAAACTTCTGGAATAAAAGGGAATCATGACATGTCACACATGCCATGTGTCCTTAAGGGGTTAAAGGGACACTATAGTCACCAGAACAATTACAGCTTAATGTAGTTGTTCTGGTGAGTATAATCATTATTAGTGATGTCGCGAAACGTTCGCGAACTTCCCGCGAACGGCTCATCAGAGTTCGAATCAGTTGATGACTCGGAAAGAGCTTCCCCTTGGACAGCATCCATGTTGAAGCTGCCTTCAACATGGATGCTGTCCAGGAGGTGGGAGGGTCTGGGAGGGAGGGTCTGCTGGAGATTGGCCGGGATGTGTCAGCTGACCGGAGCTCGTCACGAACGGTTCGTGGGGAAACCGTGGCGAGCCGTTCGCGGGAAGTTGGCGAACGGTTCGCGACATCACTAATCATTATATGTAGGCATTTTCATGCAAACACTGCCTTTTCAGTGAAAAGGCAGTGTTTACATTACTTCTAGGGACACCTCCAAGTGGCCACTCCTCAGATGGCCACTGAATGTTCTTCCTGGCTCAGGGCTGCAGAGTAGGCAGCTCTGCCGTTCAGCGTCTCCACGCTCTGCATGGGGACGCTGAATGTTCCTCATAGAGATGCATTGATTCAATGCATCTCTATTAGGAGGTGCTGATTATCCAAAATGGCATTTGGCCCCACCCCCTTATTAATTTTAGCCAATCCAATGATTTCCCCATACTTTCATCTACTTAAGTATGCTGATCCCAGATGCTAGCTTTGTGTTCATTGCTTCTCTGTGAGAAGGACTGGATTCAATGCTTCTTTTAGAGAAACATTGGAGTAGCAGATAACGGGAATAGGCGTGTAAATGCTGGGTGTCTATAATGCTTCAGAAACATTTGATTGAAAAAAGTAATCAGACTTGATTAGAGGTTTGTGCTGCAGTAAGGCAGCTGGAGAAAAGGTAATTTTAATTTTTTTTTACCAATTAAAAAAATATATGGGACCAGCATTCTAAAAATATTAAGGAATATATTTAATTTAAAATAAAAAAGTACCTGTAGGTTAAGAAATGTTTGTCTATTCATTGTAATTTGTAGAAACATTTCTAAAACTTTAATGAAAAATTATTTGAAAAGAAACGTGCGAAGTGTTGTTTATCACTGTGCTCTTAATTTATTGCAGATTGAAAATGTAATGTTAGAAGGAAGATTTTTGGACAAACATGCTTTGTTTTCATTTTCTGTCTGTTTTAAAGTCAACGTGCCAAACACTATCAGGTGACTGTCTGAGAGGAGAGAAGCACCTGCAGATTATTAAGGCGGCCCTGCCTTGTTGGATGTATCTTAGTTCCATGTTAATTATATTGGCTTTGAGCTCACTATTATAAAATGCTAAAACACAGCGTGACTCATATTTTCTGTGTATATAGAAATCTTACAGGATCCATATTTCCAGGGGTCCGAATAGTGCTTGTAAGCCTTTTTGTTTTCTTTTTCTAAATACAGTATGTCAGCATATATCAAATACTGTCCATTGTACAGATTGGCAACACAAGACAAGTTTAAGTACAAGTACAAGTTTAAGTACCGTACTTGTTGGCAACACAAATGATTCCTGGTGCTTTAAGAGAGACAGTTAAATAATAAAAAAAAATCTATTAAAAAAAAAAATCTGAATCAAAATGTTTATTTAGTCATTGAGGGAAGAATAAAGTCTGAATAGAGTATTGTTATTACGATATGCTCTGCCATATCTAGCTCTCGCCTCTATGACTTTTCAAAACATTCTCCACACGTTTTTAAACCAATAACTATGTCATTAATGTGCACCTGTGAAGTCTGTCTGGTGATTCAGTGCCTGAAAATCAGTGTGTCTCTCATTTGACAAGTTGAGATATTATTCTCTGAAGTCCCCAGTGTTACAAAATGTGAGTACAGCCAAGACATGGTCCTGACATCTGAGTTATTTACTGACCGTAATTCATACACGAGGGCGTAGTCATTAAACCTTGAGTGCAGGAAGGTGAAAGATTTCCTTTTTAGAATGGCCCACTTGGCAGGGAGAGGAGCACTTATTAATCATCTACTGAAGCAAGGGAACATAGGTTTACATCCCATCCTACATATAATACACTAAAGGCACCACATAGCTCAAGTGAAAACAACGTCTAACAAGCTAAACAGCTAATCATTTTAAGTTTAAAAATAAAAATATTGAAAGGCTTTTTCTTATTGTTACTATTTTGTCATTTATT